ATATATACTATGTAAACTAATTTATTATTATATTACTTATTAAATATATAGATATCCAAGTGGTGTGGCTAGAATGCTAGACAAATAGGGGGTAATCTGAATACTAGATGTCACCTGACTAGATAGTATAGATATCTATATTATCCGTAGTTCAAGTTTCAACCCGCGTGGATATAAGGGGTGGCCCGGGTGGGTGAGATACCTAATGGTTTACCCATAATCCACATGTGTTGGATCAGACATGCTGTGAATCAACCCATATCCACCCCACAGCCAGTCTAGTCCAGACAACACCAATCTCAAAATGTTCATTAACAAAGTGGAAGTAGATGAGACTCTCGACGTTCTCCTGCCATCGCAATTGATTGCTAAGATTAAGTGGTTTAGCAAGAATATGCACAAGCTCACCGTCCTGCCGCACATGCATGAAAAATCCCTTATAAAAATAAAGGTAAATAGAAAGTCTGGTCAAAGTTCTTTTGCAAACATCACCCTGATCTCAAAGAAGCCTGGGAACGTGCTCTACTCCATGGCCACCTGTAAGAACCTTCATCATGCGCATGGTGTCAAAATAGGCACAAAAACGCAATAGATTTGTAGCAAGCTTTTTGATTGTGCAAATACGCTCCCAGGTCAGGTTCCAAGTGGAATAGAGTGTTCAGTCATACGCGTCCAATGCTGGTGTTTCCTTAAGCAGCCGCCGCCATAATTCATTATCCACACGTAGATATTTTGAACAGCTGAATAGGGAAATGCCTAGGCAGGCACCCGCTGCCACTAAAGCGAGTGGTATTCCATCTAATGCTTCAGCCAGTCTTTGTATATCTGGATCTAAAGCCACATTAATGTCACAGTTCAGTGCGAGCGGAGAAGGCTCACTTAACGTCACATAAGGTTGGCCGGCTGGAACGCTTGAGCAGTAAATCTACTCCATGGCTCAAGTCCATAAATCTCTCTACCTAAACATGATACCATAGGTCGGATTGTCGCCATCTGGATGTGGTGAGTATGTGGCGATGATGAGCTCGGAGCATTGTGTGAAGATCCCAATTCTCCTGCTTGGAGTCGTCCGTCTGACACTTGATCGTAGTCTTCGCAAAATGACGAGCCACTGATTATTTTGATACTGAGTCAGCCAGTCAATGGTGGTCAAGCATGCATTGTTGATATCATAGATTCTAAAGCCTCTTTCAAGCCCCGCCAGGAGGCGTATTCCAGGATGGACTTGCTCTACGGCTGTAAATAGACTCTGCTTCACAGTGTCTGTACTTCGGTACTTAACCCAAAAGTGGCAGAGTATTCATTTTTGTAGTCATCAGCGTATTTTAGAGCGATCTATGTCTTGCTGATACTACCTAAACCATACAGAAGCACGGTAGTCCTTGGACGACTCGGCTGGGAAAGCTGCCGTATCTGGTGGATTTCTACAGACCGTTCCGTAAAGAAGGGAACCAGTTTCACGTCGAAGTTCCCCTGTTCAGTCTTCAATGCGTCTTGGCTTTCTTTGTTCGCTATATCAGAATGCGCGTCAGCGAATTCATTGATGGAGTTGGCCTAAATTCGATGCTTTATTCCTTTACTAACTGGGATTCGCATTAAGCAAGCTTATGAGGATCGGGCATGCATGGAACTCTTGCATCTGCTTCGGCCACGGGTAGCTCCTCAAACAATTCCCTCGCACATGCGGCCGCGATTGCTGCAGCATACCTCCGCCACTCCTTGCTCTTGTGAGGATCTGAGCAGTCGCATGCATAACCCTGCAATTTTTTATCCTTTTTCGAGTCGGCCATTTCGCTAGCGGTCGTGACTAGATCTATCACAGAAGCGGGTTACCCACCCATGCCAAAAACTTCCGGCTCGGGAAGAAACTTACCGCCGGAGAGATGTTCGGCTATCCTCTTCTGTCTCTCGGCCATATTCGGAGGGATTCGAGAAAGAAGATCTTTTGTATATGCAGCCGCCACCATTGCTGCATAGCCTTGCCAGTCATTGTTCTTATGCGAGTCCGAGTAGTCGCATATTCCGCGGATAATCAGGCAAGGAAAGTGGTTCGTCAGCCCTGCTGCTTCCATTTCAAAGCAGAGAACACCATTTTCCGCGGCAAGTTTATCTCGAATAGACGCATCGTTCATTAATTGGTTTGCGGAAGCAATCGTGCCATAGTGGATTGCTGGGTTGTCTTCATGTTCACCTCGCTCCCTTCGTTTTATCAATTTTGTCGAATCATTGCCACAGACTACCGCACAGCTTCCTTGGCATTGTAGAGGGTGAACAACATTGCTCTCATAAAGCCTGTCGGTAACCGAATCTGGCCGCTTATAGATTGGTCGGAGTCTGGGCTTCTTCTCGAGAACGTTGTTGATTGCTTCATTAAGGTGGTGGCCTTCGCTCATATACTGGGCTTTTAGCCCGTTCACTGCTGTCTGTAGGACTATCGGCGGCTGGTTCATAAAGCCAGTGAGTTGGAAGCTCTGGTCTTGTATGGTCTTGCCGGAGTCGTACTGAAATACGCCTCCTGTCCCTTCATTCGGAGTGCTGACGACAATATCGCCGAGACGAATATCGTGCTTTGAACTTGGGGCGCCACCTCCAATACCAACCGCTAGACAGATCCTAACGTTCGGAAAACTGTGCAGCATGTCTCTTGCGACACATGCAGCAGGGGCTATGCCATCCCCAGGCAGGATCGCAATGACAACATTGTGTTCCCCAATCTTGCCTAACGTATAATCGTTGTTGTCATTGACGCAGACATACTTTGGTCGGCCGTGTCTCTCATCGAGGAAAGCCTGTGCAGCAACATACGTAGTTATGGCGCATATCCAGCCTACAATATAGTCATCATTGCTCAAAGCTTTCCCAGTGATGTTGTCCCCTGACGTTGGAGCGCCATCACGATGTATTCTTAGTCTCTTCAGAGCGCTGGAAGCAGCCCCTTGATGTTCCCCAGGCTCATACCCTCTCTTCAGCATTATGCGACAGGTTTAAGGGCGTAGAGTAGACGTGAGGTTATTCGTTGGGACGATTTGGGCTCGCCTGCTGTATTGCGAAGATTTGGTGTCGACGGCCTAGATTGCTCAAAAGATAAAAGTTCATTACCTGAGGCCACGTCAAGCAGAAGGTGACTTGAATTGCACTGAAGGAGGCTGCTTAATGAGAAAGTATGGATCGAGGCGAAAGGATTGGGGATCCCATATAATAATACCCGGCGCCGGACAAGGCTGCAGCACGGCCACAACAAAGCGCCTTGTCGGCCATTAGTATGTTGACATTATGTAGCAAAATGGGAGGCAGCCATCTAAATGTGGGGTCGCAACATATCATACACTGGTTAGACTAACGCTTTCTAGTACGGCGGCTGGTGTTTCATGATTTATGAATTGTCCAACTAGAACACCCAGTTTCGCGCCCAAATAGATCATCAGTTCTCTTTAGGCGAATTCCGCTCGAGAAGGGTTCGTGGGGGGTGATTACGGTCGAGCATTACCGACTTTCTAGAGAGGTAGATAGAATGAAATGTTTACATGCGGTGGTGCCGGCAATGGAACTCGCTACTCCTTTACCTAGGTAAGTAAGTAAATATATAGAAGAGATAGGATCAGGTAACTACCGATATTATTATAAGTAAATATAAAGATATAGAGTAGTAGTAATAAGCTAAGCATAATAGCTACAGCACCCAGGCTACATAAGGCTAAGATATTCGCCTTACATAAAAGCGGTATTTACTTACAGCCTGCTAAATTTATATTCTATTCTTATTCAAAAAGTTTAGTCCTATTAGAGTCTTACCATAAAGATCCAATCTACTTTAGGGGTGGCTGAGAGCATAAAAATCACCTTTAAACACATCTACTGCATGATGGCTGTATCATGTAATCACCAATCATACAAATCATCTAATAAAAGACAATGTGTCGAAAGTACTCTGGTTCCCATACCTAAAATAGTGTACCTCTCTACGTGTAGCAGAAAGATTGCCTGGACTCGATAGGTATCACAGTCCGTGCAGTCTGGGTCGGGGTAGGTACCTGATTGTATCGGACATGGGCCTGCTCTACAAGACGGGACGGGGACCGCTTGCCATTGGGCGAGGCCGAGTCTCCCGGAATGTATTGGGCATGATTACCAGGAATTCCGAGTTCCGCGACCCGACTCGGATAATATTCCTGATAGCCATTCGACTCTGAAGGCATTGGTAGAGGATATGCGAGCTAAATATGGAAAAGCAAGAGCCGCAAGGGGCGGTAAAGCGCTTTCTGTACCATAGACACTGAACAACACGTATGTTACCCGAGACCTACTCGCTCTCAGGCAGCCGTTGAGATAGTTTCTCACCTTGCCCATCATGGCTCTTCTGCATATCAGTGAGGGTAAGACCGAAGCCTAATTGGAGGAAGTTGTATCACGTCGTTGGAAAGTAACCCTTCAAGTTAGAGATAGATGACGACTACTCTCTATTCGTCTGCTTTCTTTATCATTTGAAAGCTTTGTTTAACTGAACAACATAATTCTGCATTCCTTTCATTGGCGTCTTTGCGCGAGTACAGTCCTTTCAGCGAGGGATGGTGACTTCCCATTCATAGTACCGGTCGTCCTACTGGCTGCCTGGTAAAGGCTGGCCACCCATAAATCGTGGGAATCCTTGGTAGCCGAGCCAGAGCTCACCAGTTCCCGGCGGGCCACCGACAATCTCCTTCTTGCGACCCTTGAGCTCATCAACGTCCCAAGCGGCGAAGACGATCTTGTTTTTGAGAAACTCTGCTTCGGGGGAGGCAATCCAGACAAGGAAATCAGCAGGAAGAGAGACTGGGAAAGAAAGAATGATCGTTAGTCACTTGGATACAGACCCAGATTGGCTATGAAGCACGGGCCCAGTGTATACTTACTGTCATCATAGGCATATGGCAATTTTATCTTCTCAGCCAATTTGGCAGACATGGCCGTTTTGAGGAGTCCGGGATGCACATTGTGAAGACGCACTTGCGGGTTCTCAGCGGCAAAGGCCTCTAACAGCTTGACGGCGGCCATTTTGCTGCTCACGTAGGCGCCCATACCGGGAAAAGGGGGGAACAGGATGCCGGCCGTGGTTAGATTGATAAAGGTGACTGGCTTGTCCTCGTTGGTGCTGACAGTCTTGTTTGCCAGGACGACAGCCTGTGCCGCCACCAGCGTACCGACCACGGTAGTCTTGTAGCCGTCGAGAAATGTAGCCGGATCAGCTTCCAGAAGGGGAACAACGGGGGCCAGTACGCCGGCACAGTGGACGAGGATGTCGATGCCGCCAAACTCGGCAGCCACCTTGTCCATGGCATTGCGGACGCCAGAAGCATCGCACAGCTCAGCTGTGTGAGTTTGAATCGCCACCTCTGCGTGGCTGACGCGAACGATCGTGGCGGTTTCCGCCAGGGCGTCGGCGCGTCGACCGAGAAGGATGAGGGCTCGGGGACGCGATGCAGCAAAGGATGAGGCTGCGGCCCGGCCAACGCCGCCAGATGCGCCAGTGATCAGCACAACCTTGCCCGCAGTGGAGAGGCCGGCCTTAGTTGGATTGATGCTGGCATATGTGGCAGAGTGAGTGACTTTGGTGTAGGAGGGCGGTGACGCTGCCATTATCTCAGACTGTGGGCTCTCTTCGCCTTTGTGTGGTTTAATTGTAGTGCGTGTAGTGCGCGAGAGTGAGTGTATAAATAGTCAAACGGATTACTGTCTTGTGGTGTAAAATATGAATCACTTTAGTGTGGATAGATACCAGTAAGCGTGCAAGATGGTGCAAACAGTATGAAAGCAGAGATGGGGCCAAGTATGGCCAGTCAAAACAAGGCTAATATTAGTGAAATACAGTATTAGCAAAGTTTAGCCTGGTTACTGGCTATATAACTAGTAGTAGCTTCCTAAGTCACGACATACTACCTTAGCATGTCACTCATGGTCGCATCTGCCTAATATGAATGAGTAGGCAGAACTAGGAGCACCTGAGTGTGGGGCTTTTACTGGCGATAGTGGGTGAATTGCTAGCTACTTATGTGTAGGCAGCAGGCTGGAGCCTCATATAGTTGGAGTAGAACTGATAGTAACAGGGATTCTGGTGTTTGGGTGAACAGAGTGGCATAATGGGCGGAGAAATATAGAGTACGCACTCTGTAATGCTGTGTGGTCACTGGTCAGTCCACACTCCGGACGGCTTGGAAACTAAGGTATGCACCTGGCTCAAATTAGGTCGGGGTATCCAACATCCAATGATTGACCAAGTTTGTATGTTTTGACTAAAATAAATAAATTACTTGAGCCAGGTTTCAAATCTCAAACCATTCAGCCTCCAGCAGATAACTATCTGTCATTGACTCGAGTTACTTACAGACCATAACCAACATAATCAATCCATCTTTTCAGCCCCTGCTGGCATGAAAAATCATTCCATAACTCCTCCATGAACTAACAATGTAAAGGAACGGATTACTGCCAAGGCCTTTCAGAGCACAACCGCTTTCTAGACTGACTCGTAATGTACTCTGGAGTAGACATCCAGGGGTATTGATACAAATACAAAGGGGGCCAAAAAAAAAAAAACCAACAGAAAGCACGAAATAAACTCCGTTGATTGGATGCAGAAGGGTAAGGTCAATAAATTAGCCCCAGTAGCTTAGCTTTGGAGAGTGGACCATGGTACCTGGACCAATCCAAAGAAGCTTTCTTTGCTGTTGAGCCCTTTTGGTCTTGGACTACACAGAGCCATTGCTAAAGGACAGGGGACTATAACTCCGCCCGAAAACCGGGATTCTCGCCTTCGAAATTTGGCTGTTGGAGACAATCTTCCATTCTGACTCATAACAGCGGGTTGAGCCTGGGGAGCTAAGCTTTAGCGTCGAGACTCTGATCGCGGCCTACCACTCTATTGTTAAGACTTGGCACTGTGACACCCTTGTCGCTGGGCGGCACATCCTTTCATTGGTACAGGCAACGACTTGGAATCGAGGAGCACACCTGCAAAACCTTTGCCACAGCATCTAAAAACCGGCGGTTGAGTGTCTATAAAGCTCTTGAAACTCAATCTGTAGCTTTTTGAAAGTTCCATCGCGTCTCTGTGTTGCCTTGGCCACAAATCAGAAACCCGTAGTATGTGGTAGAAAGTGAGAAAGGTGGGCCCCAGAATAGAATCATTGGTGGTAAAAGAAAAGGGGGGGACGTACTTTCGTCCTTTATCTGACCAACAAGCTTTTTGTCTGGGATGATTTGCAAGACGGTGGGTCGGGAATCGCCTGGGCACGCGGGATTCTGATAGACAGCGCCAATCGAGACATAATGAGGAGGGGACGAGTAATAAAAAGCAGACGGAGTGATTGGAGGACTGGTAGCCAATGCATAGCAAGGTGTGGAATGGCTGAGAGGGTGCATCAAAGGATCAGATCAATCGAGGGTTCCGGGGCCTGTTAATTCGTTTAAATAGTTGACAAGAGGCTAAACACGCCTGTCTGGAACAGTTCGCATCTGAGGTCTCACAAATTTACTAGACATGGACTGGTTCTTGAGCAAGGAGTCAAGGACTGCTTTATAGAAAGAAAGAGTCTGAGCAAGCATAACTAAACGAGCAAAAGTTTTTTGCAACCCCCCAACAGCTCCACGGGGAGCTAACTCCATGGACAACTAGGGGCACACAAACTCTTAAACCCCATTGTTATCTATCTACTATTACCTACAGGCTCAGAGGTATCTCAATAACAATGACGTGGTCGTAAGCACTACGATCTTGCTCCCCTTTGGGAAGAAGGATAAATAGGCTGACATAATAACAATGGGAATTGCTATCTTCCCAAATAAGGTACCGCACAATCCCAAGCCTGATTTCCGCGCTCGACCGTCGAATTCCAGTGGGTGTGACCGTCGGGTTCCAGTGGGTGTCGTTGAGGATGGTTGATAATTTGCTATCCTCTAGGCTGTCGCGGCGGACGCTCTCTACAGCAAAACGCCGTAGTGTTTTGCTTACGCTCTCGCAGGATTGTTTACTTTTCCCCTTTCTCTCACTATCTTCGTTTCAGGGCAATGACATGTACAGTATTGTACAGTCATTTAAATACAATTAGTCTCATTTACAAGTAGTTCCATGCATCTTACCTAATTCATTTGCCACGTGGAAATGCCCAGATTAATCAGCCTGCCAGTGAAAGAAGTACACATTCCACTGTTCTCCCAGACTATCCTTACCAACCTCCTGCACTCCACCTATAAAGGGAACCCGTACAAACCTTGTTTATTGGGGCATATTCTTGGTCTTGGATTAGATATTTGCTGGCTACAGCATCAGTGCCAGCAAACAGGACGTTCCACGTATATGTATAACCATTCTGAGATTGAGGCGCGACACTAATAGAAGACCATGACCAGTCTAAATTGGCTTTAGATTCAGAACTCCAAGTGCCAGTGTATTTGTAAATCCTAGAGTAAAAGTCATTACCTTCAACAAGGTAGTTGACGAGCTGGAGCCACTGGCTACCCAGATTGTCCAGGCCTGCCACGTTAATCGGCCACCTGTGTTTGGTTTGAGAAAATCCTTCCTTTTGTTTGATGCCGATGAATAGCTGCATAAATGCGTATGAGACCAGGACGTCGGCTTTGTAGATAACAATGTTGCTATTCTGTGTAAAGCTGACATTGGTGATTGTATCATTGGCTGGTAGGCATGTAGTGCTTGCTGAGATCAACTAGGAGCTACCTCCACTGCTTAAAGCTAGAATCACCCGTACCTCGAAGGGGATACCAGAGGATCTGGAGTCAATCATGCTAATTGGAGCTTGGGTTAATGAGGCTGGCAGTCCCAGTACCTGTGCACCATTCTTATACACTGCGTAGCTAAGAGCATTCCTGACTGATGACTAGGTAAGGGTGACGGAGCTATAGTCTGTAAAGGAGACACCTGCGTTGCTTAGAAGACCAGCAACGTGGGAGCCAGTAAATTTAGCTGGGTCATGAATGCGAGGCTTGCCACCTGATACGGCGCCGATGACTGCTTGCATATAAGTCTCGTTGGGTAGGTAGACCTCGGCAAATAATACAGTCCCTGGCTTTGAGTTGAATACATGTCTAGATGACGCACCGCAATTCACAAAACTCTGGCCATACCATACGCAACCTAATTGAAATTTTGGCATTAAAACGCTTGAGGAAACCTTCAGGCTAGAGTTGAAAAGGTTAGCGGTTATGTCCAAACATAGGAAATTACAGTGGGTTATCTTATATGGCTGCACCTATAATATTAATGTTCCTGCCTAATCAGTTGAAGAGAGCTTCTCTTAATTCCCATATATTAAGACAGTAATCCGCATTATACACCTAATGTTGGTCTTCTCCTGTTTATAATCTTATTAAAACATGAGGTTTAGCAGCATGCTTATCACCATTATCTCTACCTTTCTATTGACTCTCTGCCAACAAACAATTGGCCGCTTACTTCCCATTAACATGGACCAGTTCCCTATTTTTCATCAACGAACAATAATAGATGACCAACCAGATGGCTCATGCCCGACAAATCCTCCTCTATCAACAACTGAACGGACCGTCTTCACTATTTGGGGATGTGTTGTCTACGGCTACCCCTCAACTGGCGGGGGTCTCAGAAAAGACGCTGACCTTGTTGATATGCCTTTCCTATCACTCCCCTGCTCTCATGTATCACTGCGCTCACTCAGTGCCGATGAAGAAGACAAATTCTGTAATCTTCTACGACGGACTGGTGCGACATGGTGGCCAAGTAGGGAGGATTGGGTTGAGGTGCAGCTTGATGGGAGGGAGATGACTGAGGAAGAAGCAAAGGTGGTGGAGTTTGGTTGGCCGACAGATGGAGTGGGTGTCTGGGTGTTAAGGTTTGCAAATGCTGAACAACTACCAGGGGATTTTGGGAGAATGCATTTAGCAATGAATATGGAGGAGAAGATACAGATCATGAGAGAGTATGGCGCTACATTTGTGGAAGATGTCACACAGGTGGAGGAACTTCATGATACATTTTGAGGTCTACTAGTCTTAAGATAGGGACTTGTGGAGAGGAATTTGTATATGCAGTATATAGTACTGGACGGAGCTGCCGCAGCCCATATCATCACTGAGAGCCATAGCTGTTTTGGCCTTTGAGAAACTGAGACACGCTCTCGTCAAGTCAAGCTCTGGGACGCCAGACTGGCAACAATGTTTACTAAGTAGTCGGCGCTAGGCCAAAAGTCCGAGTCGGTTATTCTCGTGATCGACAACAAAACACGCCATCCCCTTAGTAGTGGAGGAATAGGTCAATATAAACTGATATCGCCGCCCCTAGCGCTATAATAGTTTGGATGTTTTACATCTCCTATGTGCCATTTTGCTGGACCAGATGAAATCTCTGCCAGGGACTGTTTGTGCTGTTAGTGCATAGTTAGCAGTTACACGCAATGTCATGTCCAACGGAGGAAGACCCTGAAGGGGACCTTAATGCGGAGACGCTGCTGGTTGACAGCCATCCCCACCCACAGAGCTACTCTGGGGAGATCAGAACTGGATGCACTCTCCATCCTCCCCTACGAGCTATCCGAAACCCTGAAATCCTGTAGCTCAAAAAAAGTTCACAACACTGCCGCTACTCTGACACGCATGACTGGGATCGATTTGCCTCGCTCCCGTTAAGGTGTACAGCGCTTTAGAGAGCGTCAAGGGACTAGTAGTGGAGTTAAACTACAGGGACAATAGGCCACTAAGAGTCCCGCGGGATTCTTAGTGGTCTTTACAGTGATTCGGATTACTCCGTCCGGAGAGACAGGCAGATGATCAACGGAACAGCTAGTATGAATCTCGAGAATTGAATCAATGGATACACGTCACCTCCCGTCTGCAGCTATTCTTCGGATCATTCCCATATATATCACCACAAGGTAATTGCTTTCCAGTCGTTGTTAACAAAGACGGCCTATGGATATGGAGCCCAAAGGACAGTATCTAGTTGCATAAGAATCTTAGAGGCCGTCTAATCATGCTCCATATTTAGATTGAATTAATCCCAGACCATAAAGTATCCACAAAATCCTTCCCTGCGATTTATAAAAATGTGCACCAGTTATAATATCTCCCAGTGTCGGCTATATCTGAGAACCGCACTATGACAATCATTGGACTGAAGATTGCACTCAGGAAGGTATCCACACAATAGTCTAAGAGAGACAAAGATCATAGAAACAGTACTTCAATCAATTTTTCTTTTTGCCGCGATTAGCAAGTAATATTCAGTCTAAACAGAACTCTCCACCATCCTCATTCCAATCAAGCCCTCTTTGAACGGTGGATAAGCTTCGAATGTCACTCGAAGCCTAGCCAAGCCAGCCATTTGATGCCGTTCAGTCGAGCTTCTCTCTCGACCGCCATACAAGGCAATCATAGCGGCGTGCATCTTCGCGTAATTGGCATTCTTCGCAAACTCTTGAATCAGTAATCGCGAGCGAGGAGCCATGGCCTCTGATATCTTTTTCAGCAGGCGAGCCGCTTCCAGGCCGGGGAGAATAAGAGCCAAACGGTTCGGACGATCTGGATTCCGCAGCGTTGTGGTTGGGCGCTAGTTTAGGGCGGCTATCGAGAGGCAGTTTCTAGACTCTAGTAGTACTAGACTCTAGCGTAGTAGGCAGTCAAGTGACATAAATCCAACACGCCTCTCATCCCCATTGCTCACTCGCCCTGGGCTGTCTCAGAATCTAATCCGCAACCGCTGCCACGCGATGAAATTAATTCTCCCTCAAAGCTTGTCTCTTTGCACCGCTGCACTCGCTGCTCTTGCTAAGACCAGCCCCTCACAGCAAGAATTGCTCGTCGGCGAGGACTTTATGGCCCAACAAGACAACAGAATCCCCGGCCACAACGATGCCATCTACGACACTGTACCTAAGGATGACCAGATATTCAAGATTGAATTCCTAGAGATTGCCCCGACACCTATTATCGCGTGAGATCTCCCCTCTCCTTAAAGTACAGCTTAATCTTAATTATAACATTCTGACATTAACATCCTGATGAAGTGACCGTGTCTTCTTTGTCTACCTACGCGGTTATCTACCCGAATCTAAAAAGAAGGAACTATCACTTTCTGACGAGGGCCTCATTAATGCAACCCTCAAAGTGAGCGCCTCTACTGTCTATCCGGATGGTAGTCATGATAATGAGGACTCCACTACAGGGGCATTGAAGACTACGCCCTTTAATGATCTAGCCCACCTGACTATTCGTAATACCTATGGAGTTCAGGTTGACTACATGCCTACTAGCGGCCGCAGTGATATTTTACTAGATTTTCAGATTCCTACAATGTTTTTGAGGAGTGGTATGTGGACTTTTAAGGTTGATGCACGAGTTGGAGATGTAAATAATACATGCCTATTTGCTATGAAGTTGACACAATGGTTAGAAGGGGGCCTTAAATAGGATATTTGGAATTATCTAGAAGCTCCATGACACAACTACTCTCACACGTTCTGTAATTTCCTGTCAAGATTTAGAAGCCGCGCGAAGACCTTTGAGAGGAGGAGGAGGATGAAGAGGGGAGGGGTAAGTCTCCTTGCAGTTTTTAATAACATGTTAGCACTTGATATTATGCTCTATGTCTAGATCTAGTCCCCCGTAAACACTTCGTTATTGCGATATCAAGGTCTTTGAAAACAGCCGTTTTGTATGGAATACAATGTGATCGGCTCCGGGGGTTGATCAACTCGGCAGGGAAATACGGTTTAGTGAATAAAGGCAATGCTGATGTCAATGGTTGATTATTACCACCAGCTCGACAGAAAGGCTAGTAGGCAGTAGCAAATAGGAGGCAAAATTATTCTGCATTATCCAGCTCAGGATAATGTCTCCAGATATCCATCGAGTACTTCTGTCTTCTATCACTGGATAAATATTGCTTAATGCGGGGCCGATTTTTGACGGCTTCGCAGTGTGTAAACACGTTCACATACTGGGCCGACTGTTCCAACTTTCCCACAGCCTTAGGGAAAGCAAATTTGACACCATCAATACACTGCCCGTTCACGGTCAGTCAGAGTCAGCACGAGTGGGAGGGAGGGAGAGAGCTCTTGACCAAAAGCTGGAGACCCCCCGTGTAAATACACGTACCTGGAATAGAACTAGGTCAGCATACGTGAATGTCGTCCCGTACAACCACGGTTGATCCAGAGCCTTCTGGGACTTGAGCACCCTCTCAAAGTAGGAGAGAAATTTAGGCAGACGATTCTGCAGGTAACATTTGGATCTCCTCTTACTCTCCTCCAGTTGATCTTCATAGTAAAGCTCCATTGCAATTGGGTGATGACACTCGTGGACCTCATCACTCAATCCATCGAGCGCCGTCAATGTCAGCGCATTCACATGGTAGACAGCATCACCGGTGGGCACCAGACCCAAACGCGGACCCAGATAAAGAAGGATGTTTGCTGTCTGGCTGATAACGAGATCCCCATGCTTCAGGATCGGCGGCGCATACGGCGGGGGGCCAGACCAGTCGCCGATGAGGGTTTTGTCAACGTGTGACCGTACAACCTGTAGGCCACCTTCTTCATGTGCAGTATCTCTGTAGGGTGCACCGGCTTCTTCCAGAGCAAGCCGTACAAATTCTCCTCGTCCAGGCGTTCCGGGCCAGTAGATGAGATGGTAATTATGGTCTCCTGTAGGGGTTTGCATTGTTTTCCAGCTGACTGTTGGGGGGTACTGGGGGTTTGGCAAAGGTAACGCAATGGAACAGATGGTTCAAATTGGATTAGAACTCTGGAAAGTGATGGAAGTCTTGGGGGGAGGAGCAGGGGAAGGGAGGGCGTGGGTAATATATGGTGTTGGAGCGGATGCCTGCGAACTTCGGTATCGAAAGAGCACGTCATCTCAATTTCCTTTAAAGGCTATGATTACATTTTTGAGTGGATGTGGCCCAGGAGAGACCTCGCGATTTGCCCGGAAGAGGAAAGTGGAGGCAATTCCTTTGGACCCACAACCTCAAAGTATACTGCAAAGGACATGCCGCCTAGCTCGAATAAGTCAAAAGTCAAAAGAACCTATGAACTTCATAACGGAACAATACCACGCATCCCTGACATGCAGCTCCACACTTAGGGCTTTGTGTTTATCAATAAATGTTGCCATGGCAAGACTCCGTACTACCCTCTCGCCCAGGTGAATCCCCGAGCATGACTGCTCCATTGCTGCCGAATGCTACAATATCCTAAATTCACTTTCAACTTCGAAACTTAACGGCAATGCCTACCCGTAAGCGTTTGGGGTCACCATCGCTTCATGGCCTACGCAGATTACGGCGAATTGCTAACAGGCCTGGTAACAAAGATGTTGCAGTTCTGCCCGGCGACGAAAACAGTTCTACGAATGATTTTGACGAAGATCGATATCGCCATACCGATGACGATTATGAACCAGGAGAAGAGGATGAGGAGGTTGAGCAAGACGACGACAACGACGAAGAAGAAGAAGAAGATAGAATCCGCACTTTGAAGAAAGATGTCAAAGACAAAGCTAGCGAGAGGATAGTTACGATCATTCCTTACGAAAGATTACGTCCGCTCGACGGAGTCGAATATGCAGATTACAAAGTACACAGAAATACCTTGCTATATCTGAAGGATCTCAAGGCGAACAACAGACGCGCGTGGTTCAAGGGTAAGAACGGACCAGTGGTTAACAGGCTTATACTGACGCCAACAGATCACCAGAAGGAGTTCATACGTGCCTTGAAAGATTGGGAATCGTTTATAAAGACGCTGACACCCAAGATCATTGCTTTCGACTCTACTATCCCAAAACTTCCACCCTATGATGTAATATTTCGCATATATCGAGACCTCCGCTTCAGCAAGGACCAGAGGCCCTACAAGGTTGGTAATGTTTCCCTTGCTTACACGAGTGGCTTCATACTAACTCATGTTCGCTATGCTCAAGTCGCATTTTTCCGCAGCATTCTCACGCACAGGTAGAAGGAGGCCATATGCATGCTACTATATCCATCTAGAGCCGGGTTCGTCGTACGTCGGCGGTGGGCTTTGGGCCCCTGAGCCGCCGACCGTCCAGCTACTGCGGGAAAGCATTGACGAGAGGCCTCACATTTGGCGCCAAGTGTTGAGCTCTCAGGCTTTCCGGGGCATGTTCTTGCCGAAGGCGAATGGAGGAGTGGAAGGTGCATTGACGGCATTTGCTGATATCAACAAAGAAGGGGCTTTGAAGACAAAGCCAAAGGTAAGGGTTCCCCTTCCGAAAAAATCCGCGCCAGGATTTACAAGATTAGGGCTATGCTATAGACCATCGGGATATCCAGCTATTGAATTTACGAAATTATCACGTTGTGAAACAAGTCGACGACGCAATCTTTACTGCCGAAGATGGTCAGGAGACGATAATTAATATCATCAGTGTTCTGCAACCATTTGTGAGTGGTGTTTGGCTTTGTAGGGGCTCGGCTTACTATTAATAGGTCACGTTTCTCAATACTATTATTATGCCTGATTATGACGAATCCTGAAAAGGACTGCTGGCTGCTCTGCCCGACGCAACTCTATCATGCCGCGGCTGTGGACGAGGTTTGTTTTTTTATCTTAATGACCTGGTTGGCTTTACCGGTACTATGTCGCAAGTAATATAAAATCAATTGGCGGCTCAAGTTCAAAATCTTTCTCCACTCTACTGTGTAACATCCGGGCATTTCAGCTCACTATCAGTCTGAGATTTCAATACGTGGTACCTGCCGAGCTTCTCACAACACAATCTGTAGCATTATTCTCTCTTTTTGCCCTCATGAATATACATTAGACTTTAATTAGACTTCAGCACATGCTATGTCCCACGGGCAAGTGGTGGTAGTGCGGCTGGATCAGATATCCATGCAAATGCATACCGCCGCTCTAAACGATTAACCCTAAGGATAATTCCCAGTTACTATCAATGCAGGGGCTGACTCTAACAACAACATCGAATCCATCCCTGGCCTTCTGATATATGCGCCGTCGAGCCTAGAATACCAACATTGCGGAGTTCTAAACCGCGCCCTTCCGCATCAGCCTCTAGCCACCATCAGGCCGCACACAGAAGATGGAGGTATCGCGAGCGGCTCAATTCTGCACGATAAGAGGGATCCCACTTGCTGTTCGCTCGGGCGGCCATGACTTCTTCGGGTCGCTCTCTAGTCACTGAGGGCATCCTCATTGGGTGCAGTTGGCTACCTACGCGTGTCCGACCCATCCAACTTGCCTTTCTGGGCTAGAATGCGAGTTCTGAGTTTGAGTCTGAGGCGCCACTCATCCTAAACTGCCTGTACTCGTTATTTTCTCTTCACATTATTGGATTGTTTCTGTTGGCTATCGGGAGGCCGTCAGCTGAGTGTAAGAATTGCGAATACTGATAGACAAAAAAGGACAAGTAAGATTCCTCTGCTAAAGACATGAGTTGAATATCTAATGCTTATTGCTTCGGAGTTCTCTATTTAGTCCTTTCGTCTCGTCAATCTTCCTTCAGTAAATGCTTGGCAATGTGAACTCTTCTTTCAATCATCTTTGAATTCTTCGATGGCTGGATATCATTGGTTTGATAGATTACTAGGGGCTTGGCATGGCTGACAGTTTCACTCAAGGAGCAAAATGTGGGCCACCAACGGAAAATGTTTTCGAGGCATGCTTCCATCATTCCATTGTCTCTCAGTCTATCTAGCTATCACAGAAAGACCAACAGAACTCGTATCTTAATACTCAAGCAAATAGAAATCCCAGGGATGAAAAATGTCCTTCTTTCGCGTGCGTTTCGAACCTGTTGTTAGTTTGCCAGGATACACACCACCACGTGAGCCGATTGCATCGAAGGGGAGATCGAAAAGTAAACTTGGCTGTCAACAATGCAAAGCAAAACGAGTGAAATGTGACGAGACCTTTCCAGTGTGCTTGCGTTGCTTGCGCAAGGGCCTAATCTGCTCGTCAGCCCCTCGCCTGACCATGTGGCAGTGCGAGACGCCTTGGTTCTCGTCGCAGGTGGAAGCGACCATCAACCGACGGCTCCTCCAGTATTGGCTGGAAAGAGTAAGTCAGATGCTGGTAATTGACCCCGACGACAATCCTTATTCGTTCCCCGCATTGGAATACATTACAAAATCCTCGGCACTGGTACATATCATCCAGTCAATTAGCGCCCAGCATGAGCAATACTTCCCTACGCAAGCCCCAATTATTGCCCTTGAAGAGAGAGGCAAAGCCTTGGTGTCCTTCCGGAAGGAGTTGGAACATGTGGAGACCACGCCGCGAGCATCTCTTCTCACTGCCATGCTGCTGGCATTGTCGCATGGAGTCGACTCCGACATGACAGATTTTGGGAAGGAACATTTGTTTGCAGCACGGATTCTGATCAATAGAATGCTCCAAGACACGTCCGCTCTTTCTGAGCCTGATTGCCTTCCACGGCTGTGCTTCGGGATGTATCTCTACACGGATATGTGTTCTGCGTTTCTTGTGGATCCGGACGAGCAACAGCAGTTGAACTCGCTAGAGTTTGCCATCGCCGTGCAGAGAATGGGTCTCTGGCATCATCCAATGTACGGATCCTGCACGGAGCTTCTCTTCATATTGGCAAACGTGGGTCGTTACTGTCGGCAAGTCATCCACTCGCAGCGACGCAATCCCTCTCGAGAGGCTATCCTGGAGCAGCAGCTCTATAAGTGGAGCGCATGCTCTGCAATACCTGCCTTGGACCTCCTATACGAGGCTTTACGCAAGCACGGCCTCATCTTTCTTTATCGAATCACTGGATGGAATGCTTCCTTTACAAACCCGGCTTTGAAGGAGTCTAGTTTGGAGGCTGTAATCCATCATTACGCTATAGAAACCGTCCAAGGTCTCCTTCAAATTCCCATAACCTCTAATCATTTGAATTTCCAGTCTCTTCCACTCCTTACCGCTGGGTCCGAACTTGGCGCATCAGAGCCCGGTTTGCGGGATCAGGTTCGGCAGAGATTTCGAGCGGTGTACTCCCTTAACCGGCTACCTGCAAATCTCCATGCTCTCCAACTCCTTGAGGAACTCTGGGCTGCTCACGATAGCGGCAAGTCATGTTTCTGGGTGCGTTACATGCTGCAGAAAGGATGGCGGTTGCTTCTAGGATGACGGGTCCAACAACTCAGTCCTATGTAGTCAGATCAGCGCCGCTGTTTTGGGCACCATATATCCTAAATAATAAAAGCCTATCAGTAACAATGAAGCCGAGAGTATAGAATATTTGGTCTAGCTGGTGCAGCCTTACTGTTAAAGATAGGAAAGTCAGGGACCAGCTAGTTGCGAAGTTATATCAGGATACTTCAATATGCACTAAAGACTATTTTCAACTATAGCATGTGAAAAACTAATCCTCTTAGGTTCCACAATATTACAGCTGGCTGGGTTCCGGTTTCAACGGCATAGAGATAGGATCGGATATTCACCAAATCAAACGCATTAAGACACATATCTGCTCTTTTCCGCTGCTGGTAATATCCCATTGGATATGCATGGACGAAATTTCGGTATTTGGTCCAGAATACTAGGCCGCAGCGCTTTCCCCACCGAAAATATTGGACTAATAACTCGGACCATCGGAACGACGCCTTCAGACCCACTGGAGTTTCCTGCTTCGGCGGACATGCGAGCGTTAGCCTTGACTAGATAGTTCTCGGTTAATGCAGGGCTTAGTTACAACGTAGAAGCCGTCATCCTTCTATTTTGAGCCCTCGGTGACGACTCCACGCCGGTATGTCATCTCAATTTCTAGTGAAGATCATACTACGGATGCCGCCAAACAGTTCCCAATGTGGCAACTCGAGCTTGATTACTCTAGCGAGGGGTGGCGAAAATATCGACGATGAATATGATCTCCGTTCATTTACTGCGACCACACTTGGATTCTTGAAAGGGCGTATCCATTGTGCTCCTGCATATGTTTAGACGTCTTGTGACTGCCTTACCAAGTCTCCTTCGTCTGTCGCCCAGAAACAAAGCTCTCTCGATCACTCGAACCACTCCTGTTCCCCCGAGAGATTGGAAGATTATTGGAATGTACGATGCCTAATCCGGCCTCAGTCAGGCTCAAGTTGTTCAGTCATGGTTCGGTGTCCGCTGTGTCAGAAGGACGTCTCTACCTTCATGATAGACCCTCACATCGAGTCAAACTGTACAAATTTCTTCGAAAATGACAAGGAGAAGCCAGGATCGGGTTCAAAAAGCAACAGACCTGCCTATTCGCCCAGAACCTGCTCGACCTCAAAGATTAAAGGTTCCAACAATGCTCCTGGAGTACCTTATCCACACCCAAAAATACCTGTCAAAAGAGCCCTCCCCGAAGCCGAACGGGACTCAGAGCGACTTCAGACAGTTAGCACAGCCAACTTGGGCCCGGGGTTGAAGAAGACGCTGAATGGACGTGGCTGGACAAACCACAATGCAACACTTGCGGAGCGCCTTCGGCCAACGAGCCTCGGTGACGTTGTTGGACAGAGCCTGGTCAAACCCGGCGGTGCTCTCTACGAAATGGTCCAGCAGAACAATATCTCGCATTTTATTATGTGGGGTGGGTCAGGCACAGGGAAGACTACAATTGCCAGGGCGCTCTCCCGGATGACAGATATGGATTTTGTGGAGATTGGAAGTGTTACAACGAGCATGAAGGAATACGAAGATATATTATCCAAAGCTAGGAGAAGCTTCAAGGCCACGAAGAGGAAGTCGATAATTTTCTGTGACGAGATTCATCGGTTGTCGCGACCACAGCAACGACTCTTCGTGGACGCTGTCAAAGAAGACTCAATAATCTTAGTCGGAGCAACAACGGAAAACCCGTCGTTGAACCTCCATCACACTCTGGTTTACAAGTGCAGGGTTTTTACATTGTCCAAATTGGAAGACGCTGATATCTACAGACTTCTTGAGCGGGCCCTGAAGCTGGAATTGACTATGAAGGGGACCGAGGTTCCACTGTCTCTCGATCACGAGCTACTGCTGTTCTTAGCTAGCCTTGCTGATGGGGACGCCAGAGCAGCTATTGAGTTACTGGATCTCGCGTACCATCTAAGCGAACGACCAAATATGACTAAAGAGCGGTTAAAGCAGTCCTTGACGCAACCTCTTGCTTATGACCGCGCCGGAGACCAGCACTACGACACCATTTCCGCATTTCACAAGTCTGTCAGAGGCAGCGATCCAGACGCGGCCTTATATTACCTTGCGCGCATGCTTGAATCAGGAGAAAATCCTCTCTTCATAGCCAGGCGCCTAGTTGTCGCGTCGTCTGAGGATATTGGTCTTGCGAACAATGCAGTACTGCCTCAGGCAACGGCAACGTTCAAGGCCATTGAAACTTTGGGCCTCCCTGAGGCGCGGGCGGCCCTCGCTCAGCTTACTGTGACGATGTGCTTATCGAAGAAGAGTACGCGCTCCTATCGGGGCCTAAATAATGCTTTCGCCGCGTTACAAGAGCCTGGGATGCAGGACTTGCCTATTCCTGTCCATCTAACCGAGCAAAGCAACGCACGGCTTCAAGCGGCCGGCGTCGAATGCTATAAGTATAATTTGGACTATCTCGATGGTGTCGTGAAGCAGGAATATCTTCCTTGCGGCCTGGAAGGACGGAAATTCCTTGAAGATACAGACTTTCTCTTCCAGAAAGATCCAGATCTCGAATACTAGTTGAGTGCTGCAACGAACAGTTGTGGAGCTCATAACGTAGCAATTTTCGTTAGTGATACTAGCTAGACGTGTTATGGGCCAGCCGCTCTATGTGGGAAAGTAATATGAGAAATGATAATCCGGCGGGAATGAGCTCCAAATATGACAGAATGTGCAAATGCAAAACCTCACCTCAATAGAGGATGCTACGCCGTTTTTTAGGATCGGAGTATTCATTTTGGATAACAACCATATGAGTGTACAAATCTGGTGCAAATGAGGTGACTGATCAAGAGACACAGAACATAGTCGCTCTTCATAACTTGCCTATTGCCTCATTTGCCACAGGCTTCTAGACATCATATCCAGATGGTGTATAAACAACTGCTCCAGTATCTTCTGAGCCAGCTATTAGCCCGCTATGAAAACTACAAGATGAGCATCCAACATGGACAAACCGGGTCTACTATGTACCATAGTACTGCAAGGAAAAGTGACAATGCTGTTCCTACGGTATCCTACCACGCAAGTTGAATAGTAAGAAATGTATTACTAGGAAAATTACAGCCGAACACCATGAACATTAGAGAGTCAAAACCAGCTTATGCAGAATTTCCTAGGCCTAGTCCACAGTCTGCCATGATCTGTTTCTCCCCAGCTATGACATCCTGGAAAATCCACTTGGAGATGCGCCCCTGACTGGGTTAGGATTCCCACTTATGTGCATGCTGCTTCTCATGCTGGGCATTTAGTAAGCAAGAAGACAAAGGTACCTTTTTCCTATGCCTTTCCCCGAAGCATGGATGTTCAAGGTGGGTGACTTACATAGCATATGCATGAGCGCAAGCAGCAAAGTGATAGCCACTAATTAATCTCCTGAAACCTAAATTCTGATGTGAGAGAATTAGGAGAAATAGAAGAAAGCGCCAGCGTAGACATACCGGACATTGCTACTAATGTGTCTCCCTCTGCATACAAAGCCTTGACAACTCACACTTGCATAGACGCCCTCATTTCTTAGGGCATAATGAGGTAAAACTATTAACTTAACGGCTCTCATATCTCTAGCACATATATCAAAGCAGCATGTCTGCTGGTGTTATGAATCAACAAAAGATGCAGAAGTCAGAAAAAGTAGGGAACCAATTCATTAGGTCCTTTCTGGGGTGGATGAGGAGGTCAGCCAAATGAACAGCTTCGGATTGCTATTTCACTAGACAAATGCATCTTTAAGCGTGAAGAGTTCTACCATGGTGTTGGTAAAGACCCTGATTTTGACAAAGCCATAATGAGAACGATTGTCAACATCTAGTCTGAGGTATTGTCTAGGAATGTCACTGCGACTATCCCTGAGGGAGTGCTGCTGAAGAGGCTGTCAACCTCGAGATTCCTGCAGAGCCTTCAGACACAACACTCAGCTTTGCATGGAACAAGAACTGGGCTGCAGTTAGTAAACCAGAGCTTCTTCCTCTCGTTTCAGGTAATGGGGGTACGTGGGAAGATTAAGTTGTGGTATTCGAAGAACAAAGCTAAGGACTCAGTTGGATTCGGTGCTCTTTACAAAGAGATCAAGTACAAAAAGAAGAAAGCCAAAGAACAAGAGAAACAATAAAGATACAAGCAAGAAAAACAAGAAAGAAGAACTGGCAAATATGGGTAGCTTTTCCCAGACGGTCCGTTACAGTAAGCGAAGTCGCGGACATCATTGGCGCAGAAGTCATTTATCAAGTCGTTGCATCTTCTTGTAGAGTGCTGACGGGCCCAGAACTGCTCACCACTGTATGTGCCGGCATTCCCACCATTGACTGCAAAGCCGCTACCCTACGGCCGGCACATGTCATGAGAGCAGCAGCAGAGAACGGCTACGAGGACGTTATTCGTATATTTGTCGCAAATGGTGGCGACGTGAATGAAGGGTGCGGCGAAGACGAAGGTAACGTTCTTCAAGCCGCTGCGATAAAGGGCAATGAGACCCTAATACGATGTCTTGTTGAGCTCGGAGCCGATTCCAACGGAATTGGAGGCGAACTGGCAGGCGTTCTCCACATTGCAGCCGTCAATGGTGACGAAAGTACCACCGGCTTACTGCTAGAAAATAGAGCAGACCCCAATACTAAAGGTGGTATATACGGTTTCGCACTCCAAGCAGCTGTCGCAGAGGGCCATGAGAACATCATACGGATGTTGCTCGATAACGGTGCAGACGTCAATCTCGGAGGTGGGCCTTATGGGAACGCTTTCCAAGCCGCAGTGGAGAACGGTGATCAAGATATTGTTGAGCTCTTGCTGGCTCATGTGGCAAATACAAATACGATGATTGGGGGTGAAAATATACGGCGTTGCAAGAGGTGGCAGGACGAGGCTTAGAGCCTATGGTGGAATTTTTGATTAACAGAGGAGCCAGCATGGATCTTTGCATATTCAAGGCATCTTTCCTCCACTATAGTCTGAGTAGTGGTCATTATGCGATGCTGGCTCTGATATGTCAGATATACAAGATAAAGTGAGAAAGTTGAATGAGACTGGCCCTCTTTTAATTCGCTCTGTGGAAACAATGCTTCCAGAAGTTAATATAATCCACAAGGTAGGCTTATATATTGTTCAACTACTATACCTCTTCTTGATAGTCCTCGTTACTATTATTCTTAGTTGGCGAGTTCAAATCATGCACTGCTGGCTCTGGTTTGCTTCCAATCTTCGCTGTGATCCCCCCGTGCAGCCTCTGCCTTAGATGCTGCTCAATCTGTGCTCTGGGCAGGTGACGCATCAAAGAGCTTCGGGAACCTCATCTTGGCTTTTAGAGTTAACTTAAAAGTTTATTCTTCAAGTAGGGACTTTGCCACCTGACAAACACTGTTGATATTATGCTCTCTGATAGTCCCTCTAAGGGTCAGCTGATTTTGTTGAATAAGATTCTTTATCTTTGTCTGCCTGTGTAATTGCGCGTTAGGACTGCGGAAGATGCGCTGGCAAGCTAGGTAGACAAGCTGCCTGTCAGGAGGAATCTTCACCATTGTGGAATGTTGGAACTTAGTTTGCTGTAATAAGATAACTTCTGAAGGAAGTGGAAAGCATATGGGCCCCTTTAGTAGATTTTCGCCTGTTACTGGAAACAGCACCTGGTCTGCGCTGCTTTCTGAATCTGGCTGTCCTGCACAAGAACAACTATTGATCTAGCTTAATATAGCATAAAATGACAGGCTTCTTTAAATTATAATAGAACTTTCCTCAGCCTATGCAAGCTTATTCTGATCCTGGACAGAACCCATTGTGCTACCCTTCTGCAGGTCCAATTCGATGTTCCCTCAGGGAACGTGGTGCAGAAATTAGAAATTCATGCAGCAAACGGAGCGTATAGAACTGCAAGACGAAAGTATTTCCGAGGAAAAAAGGTAGTCTAGATTATCACAAAAGTAAGGCCCTGACTAGCTATGGCTATCTAAAGTTCCCGGATTTGAAAAGGTGACCAGGCAAACGCCACATTTTGGGCTCTAAATGTTTAAAGCAGCATGCCAGATTTTGGTATGTAAAGGATTTTGCACTAACAAAAGGCCAGGCAAAGGTCACAAAAACACTTATTCAATATGTAAGCTTTCTTTATGTGGAGGATATGGCACTGACATAGTCAACTTGATCAATAGGGATGATTCTGAACAGTCCGAAGCAGTCACAGCCTGGCATAAAATCCTATGGATACAGTAACCAATGAGCAGCGCTTCCTGTGTACAGAGAAGTTCAAAACCAGCTTCACTAATCTACACTCTTCCATTCTAGCTTAAGAAATGGGTAGGTCTAAGTATAGAAGATATATGTATTTGGATTTGATCAAAAAGCTTCGCCTTCTATCTAGGAGATTTACCTGCCATCACATTGCCTTACTTCCCTTCCGCAGCCGCGGCCTTTTCCTTATCATCAATGGTCTTGGCAACAGCCGGGCGAGCCTTGATTCGGTTCAACCAGGAATTAACATGCGGGAAGTCCCTCTCGAGATCCATTTCCTTCGACCAGAAGAGCACAGCCACCTCGTACCAGGGCACAAAAGCAGCATCGACGTAGCTGTACTTGCCGCCAACGAGGTACTCCTTGTTCTGGAGCGATCGGTTGAGCACGCCCGAAACACGACGGATCTCGTTTACATAGCGCTCGACCGCACTAGGCACCTTCTCAGGGTGGTAGATCGTAAACCAGGCGGCCTGCCCGAAGTACGGCCCCTGGCCAGACACCTGGTAGTGTAGCCACTGCTTGCTTTCGTAGTACTCCTTCGAGCCGGCGGTAAAGCTGATGGTGTGTTGCTTGTCGTATGTCTCCACTAAGTACTCAAGGATGGCGCCGGATTCCCAGAGGGTGATGCCGGTGTTCGGATCCTCGAGGGCGGGAACACGTCCGTTAGGATTGATAGACTCATAGGGTTCTTTCTTTAAGTCGCCGAGATCGACTGACTTGGTCTCGTAGGGTACCTTGAGCTCTTCCAGGATCATGAGGACCTTCCAGGGGTTGGGCGTGCCGGCGTGGCCCGAGAGGGTCCAGAGAGCGAGGGCTTTGAGAGACATGGTGAGTGAATGAATGATTGATTGATTTGGAGAAAAGGAGTTGGATACAGAGACTACAAGAATCGAGGGTTGGGCTGGTTAAAAGTGCTGGTGTACTCCCATGGCGAGAGCATCAGGACATACATTATTCAGCTCGGCAACCGAGAAGACCGAATGCTTGATAAGCTGGATAGATGATTCTCGTGTGATTTTCATCAGCGTCTATTACGCCTAAATTATCAACACAAGTCATGCACTATGCAGCCAGCCTGCCGGAGCCTCAGGATGTTGATAGGTTCTTGATCAATAACACAAACAGCACAAACTATGATGCAAGCAAAACTCGCTTAGAGTGGGGGCATTAATAATTACAGAGCGTGCGAACCATTGGTCCTTGGTCATCAGCCCAAACAGCACAACAATAAGCTTGCTTGGAGGAGGGCAATTAATAATTGCAGTGCAGCAAACCATTGGACCTGGTGGGTGACCATGCTCTATAGGAACAGACTGGCTGTATTTCACATATTAGTATTGTAGCATGTGTACGGTGCTTGTATTATCCAGGTACTGTAGGGTCATGATACATTCATGTACATACCTACCTGTCTAACCCTAACACATAGGTAGCGCGAGCCAGGGTGACAGGACAGTACGTCGATACAAAACCTCCATCTCAAGCCTTTCTTGCAGCTGCGCAACCAGGCTATTCAGCAACGACTCAGATCCAATCAAAAGAAGAAATTCAAGACAGGCCTTGAGACTTATTTTTACTAAGAAAGATTCGGGGCGGCGACAATCCTGCCCGTGATATTCATAATCAACAGGAGCGGGGAGCCCTGTAGATAGAACAATTTCGCGCTCTCGGCTTTGTGTAACTTGACGATTTATAGTAGCATCTATTTAATGAAAGATTCATACTAGCGGTTCCATGTAGTAAACACCGTTGTATATATAAAACATAGCTTATTGCCAGTTCGAGTTCGGAACCAGCTCCGAGATCCTTTGCTTCATAGCTTTTTTTGCTTATTTTCTGGATATGTCGGCCGACACACTCTCACTTGCAGGAAAGACTGCTTTGGTTACAGGTTCTGGCAGAGAGACTGGCATCGGTGCCGCTATTGCCAGAGCTTTGGCCCGGAACGGCGCGTCTGTAGCAATTCATTTTGTGTCGGAAAGCTCCAAGGCGCGGGCTGAGAAGGTAGCCATTGACATCAATAAAGAGTTTGGCACCAAAACCACCGTCGTACAAGGAGGAGTGGAAGACTATGATACTGCAAAGAACATGGTCGAGCAAATTCTGAAGGCATTTGGCGTCGATCACATCGATATTCTTGGTATGTCACGGGCGGCCTGATGTTCCTTTCGGGTAGTTGGACAAAACGGATTGATTATTTGTTCTAGTCAACAACGCAGCGGCTGCACGCAATACGCCTCTCTTGGAGGTCAAAGAAGAGCAGCTCGAATATGAATTCGCCGTCAACGTCTTTGGTGTGATTTACATGACACAAGCTGTTGTTGGTGTAGGTCGAATGCCGCAAGGCGGCCGCATCGTCAACATCGGCTCCATCGCCTCGAAAATTTTGGTCCCACCCCCTGTATATGGTGCGACAAAAGCTGCAATGGATGCCCTGACAACGTTTTGGGCTGGCGAGGTAAGCTCTCTTTCGTGTTTTCCCACTCTCTCCGCTCGACAACCATCTAACTAAATACCGGACAGCTTGGCAAGAGCCGTGGGATAACGGTCAATACACTCGCACCCGGTCCAGTTCCAACGGATATGTCGAAATCATATCTGGTGGCCCCTGACGGGTCTCCAACTGCGCTTCAGCTTTCTATGTACGAACAGACGCGAGCTGCGAATCGCCTCGGGTCAGTGGAGGATGTGGCTGATGCTACGCTTCTGCTAGTATCAGAAAAGAGCCGGTGGATCACTGCACAGTTTATCTCAGTTAGCGGCGGAATTACAGGGACTGTTTAATCTGGGGCTAAGTTGACGCGCCGACTTGACTAAATCGATGTGGCCACCCCGTTTATAGTTCCCAACGTCGCTTGCCCTTCTCAGTGATCGCAAGTCTTTCATGCTGGCTGTAATTAAGTGCTTTGGAGTATGTACGTCGAGCTTTGAAATAGTACTGTCATATTCACTCTGGAAAGCTACCCTTATTCAAGTGGTTTTGTAGAAGGCCGGTAGATCCAAAATGGAGCTTTAAATGGTGAAAGCAAAGTTATGTTCTATTGCCATATCTGAGGGATGGGGATGAATTCGTCCAGTGAATCGCATTTCTATTGAGACATCGGTCAGTATGGAGAGCAGAATGCTCATGATGTAATGTACACAGGTCCATTTAGATCTACCTATTTCTTAAGCTAGTATCTTGGCAGCAGGACACAGAAAGAATGGAAGAGTGGTTAATTAAGTATCTATGTGTAACACATGGCATTCCCTCACTAGGCCAGGGAACATATTCATCACCAGTTTGTTAGCAGACTAACTTCGATAATATATGCATGAGGATGGTGGACCTGGAAAGGATGGGGAAACTCAGTGCTCGCATAGAGAAAACTGCCCTGTTTCGAAAACATGATTCGTCTGGATAGATTTGGCAGACCTCTCGTCCATAAGTTTCAGCCGATACTCCTTGGCTTCATCCATAGTCATCGGTGTGAAGTCAACAGTCTTATGCACCATATTCTGCAACTCAACCGGTAATCGCTTTCCCAATACGTCGTCGACGGATTGCTTCCATTCCTTGCACCAGTCCTCTCGCTGGGGCGGGACATGAGCAGTCGAAATAATTCGTCGACTAGGGTCAATGAGGAAAAGCGCGAGAATCTTGCGGTGACCCGGCTTAGAGGGATCAGAGAGCGAGAAGGCAGAGACGCGGTGCTGCAGTGTGTTGGGGAATGTCAAAAGGCGTCCTTCACGGCAGGTTACCGCTCCAAGATCTTGAGTTATCTGTTCGTCGACGAAGCCGCCGGCACTGGGCTCAAAACCGAACACACGCAAAAATTGGAACTCGCCCTGTTCATAGTAAAGGTCATCGAAATGTCTGTCATTGGCACGGTGACGGAAGGAAAGGGTGTTGTCAGTGATGTTTTGAGAGTCATAGTAGTAAATCGCTGTAGCACAAATCCGCTCGTTCTAATCTTGGTTAACAGCTGATATTTGCCGGGGACAATTTTGTTACCATACTAGTTGTCCTTCAATGTGCCAGGAGCCCCCTTCATACTCTGGTTTCTCAGGCGTAAGCTCGATGTTGGCCAGCTTGACAATTACCTGCAATCCTTCCTTTGCAAACTTGGACTGCAGATCGACTACGTTTCGGCGATGACCCGTAGGAGGCTCAAATCTGGATGGCTCGGGTTGCTTAGGCTGTCGGGCATTCTGCCATTCCTCCAAGCGCTCATAGAATTCGTCCTCATCTGATTCGTCATCCCCCGGCTGAGGTTCAGGCTCCGCGCTCGGAAGGTATTCAACCTCGTCGTACTGGATCCGACGTGGGATATTACGGTCTCGTGTTAGGGATATATTCCACAGAGGAATGATCTGTGTGAGTATCTTTTCAATCACGTGGTACAGATCTCGGTGCTTCGCTGGGTGCAGGTTGTTGATGTATGAAGCGATCTGACACTCGCCATTGCCATTGAATTTGACTTCACATGGAAGCCACTGAAAATGGCGGCTGTACGGATCATGGTCGGGCATTCGACGAGGATACTTCGGTGGCGAATCTGGAATCTTTGTCATCTCCCCCTGCCCTACATTTAGAAAGCAGTCGTCAAGCCCAATGAGCTTGTCGCCGAGGACTTTGGTGCGACCATACACAAGTGGAAAGAGCGATGGGTGGACCAGGTCGACAACCTTGTTGTCAGACCTGGGGTGATAGTCCTTCTCCTCTACAGGCACGTCTTCAAGGGGCATGACAAGGTCCCGAAGCTGCTGCTTGAGCTCCTTTGGAATGGCCACATCTGACTTGACCACACCGGGATCATAAGCCGTTAGTATTCCCGTCTTTTTGTATTCCGTAGATTTCCACCGGAGCTCCGCGAAGATATACTCAATCATCCCTTCAGTGATATCTTGGCCGCTTTCAGAGATTTCTTTTCGCCATTTATCGGTTATCTCTTGGTTGAAAACCTAGCTTGCGTCGGTAGAGGCCTTGGAAGGGAGTGAATCAACCACGCACCTTTCTATCCCAATCCGGCTTATCAGTGATTGCCTCCATTATACGCATCATAGAGAGCTCCCTCAGCGTGAACATATAACTGTCTGATTTAACCTCTCTTCTAGGAATCCATTGTAACTCTGATCCAAGCAACTCTTACCCAACATAGCCATTTTGGATATCGCCTTCATCCAAAGCGTTGGCATAAACAACATCTGTCCATTCTCGCTAAGATTTATTGATATCAGTTGCCTCAGCACAAGAGTTGGAAACATACATGGGGCCGGAAATCAAGGGGCAAAGTAAACCCCGGAAGTTCGAAGCGCGTTGACTCTACAGTGGACATAGGGACAGATTCAGGTCTAGACGTAGAGTGACGTAGAAGGTAATTCTCGAGAGAAAAATGCCTTCTATGCTGAACACTATGATGGATGACGGTTCGCGCAGCTCTCAGGACGGGGCCGTTTTTGTACCGTTTGTTGGCAGATTGAGAGATAGTGGAGTTGCTGCGCAAGTAAATAGCACTTCGTATATGAAAGGAAGAGCAGAATGCCATTGCATTGACTCTGGCCAGGGTGAAGCGATGGCCCCCGCTTTATAGTCAGTCCTACCCCAACTGACAGCTGGTTGTCAACCAGTTGCAGGGTCCAGGCACAATCAGGCACGACCAGGCCTGCATAGGCTTGGCATCTTTAGGCACCCGGCCCACAATAGGTAACAATGTCACGAGGCTACAAGGCCTTCCAGCGGAGGCCGGCTCAGTCTAACCTGTTTGGGACGCCTTACTGGGTGACGGAGTGGTTAACCGAACTCTGTGACAAGCAATAGGTGTCAAACACGCGATTCTCGAGTACGGTCTTGGATAGAGAGATGAACGTCGCCATGGATACCAAGTTTTTTTTTTATTCAGTTCCTTGCGCTCCGTCCATACCCTTGGAACGAAGGATATCCTACACCCATAAGTTCATGATCTGTCTCGATTCGCCTAACACCATGACTTGTGCACTTGTTTCTAAACCTGCACCGCTGCAAGTTCAGTGAGGTTTGGTTTTGATCTTTGTGGGTCGGTTATGCAACTCTAAACCTTATCTGGTAGTGATATACTACTGCTAATTATTCAGTTTAATTTTATATAAAATTATATTTTATTGCCAGTAGCAAACCATGAAATACTAATATACTTAAACAACTACAGATATTATTTCAGTTTTGTTCCAATGGCTTGCCGTAGTTAATAGTTTCGATATCGATAATCCATCGTCCTTACTTATAATCATCAGCTGGAAGTAATTCAAAGAATAAGACTGACGTGGTTCTGAAACTTAGTAGTTTACCTTCACATAGGATATTCAAGCGTTATATATGTAGTATAATGGCTTCCATCCCAGGTAGGCCTTGCTGTAAACCGGGTGATATGGACTCGGGTAGGCAGGGACAGTGAGCAGTTGGGAGTAACGTTCGTTTTATGCCTCAGACATATGTCCTAGGATTTCGCGACTCAAACAGCGGTGTATTGGTGTCCATTTGGCACACATGCCTGATCCTGGCAAGTCATGATCTCATCGTCTCCCATTGGAATCCTCCGTTTTGGGTAGCTTCGTGTGGGTCTGGTGTTGAAATCTCTAATACATCATATAGTATATCCTACATCGACGCTAGGCTGAATTGGTAGTTGAAGATGGCAATATGCGAATATGCCAAGCAGATTGGCCTCGAGATTAAATAGATGCAAGACTAGTGCAAAGCCTGATGGACTCGCCGATCCCAGTACTCCTGGGTGTTCTCCAAGTTAGCCTGTTCATTCCCATAGCACTACATTTTCCCGCTCAAGAAGGATATGCGGATGTACTGTTTCCGCGAAACCATAGGAGAACAACGGTAATCCTTTCCCACCTGCGACAAGGGCGAAATGAAGATGAATACTTCTCACCTTACTACTGGGCCGTCCGTTCCTGACACAGTGCATCTCCGCATTCCCGTGCCGGCCGCGTAATAGGTACATAGTCGGCCCCCCTGTTGAATATATTGATCATTCTTCAGGATCTAGAGGAATTTGAGGACGCCAAAGTGATCCAAGGATCATCCCGACTCGTGGAGGACACCTCTTGCCTTCAATCTAACAATAGCTGCTAATTGCATCAGTCTATAGTCATTGACTCATGGCGGTGTGCACAAAGCACCTACGCTCAGTGTAAAGAAGGAACAGTGTCTCACTTCTTGACAGTAACACCGCGGGTTCCTGTATCGATTTAGCTGGCTTAACTGCAATTCGTGCTATCGCTCTGGGATTGTGGTATTGCTTGACTGGCAGACATGATTAGGCAGGCAGCTACCCTCAACCAACGACTCAGGTTAGAAGCTGGAGTTGGGCACTTGAAGACTGAAGACAATGGACATAGGGATGCATCTCAAGTACTCAAAACAGTTCAACCCCTCAGCAATGAAGATGGGGAATAATCTAGTAAGTATCAAGACAAGTAAGTACTTGAGTCTATGACATCTAAAAACCAAGAGGTTATCCCTGCGTCATCAATATCCGTAATCATCCATCATCCCAAATATGCGATACGATCGCTTGCCATAATGCTCAGTGATATATCCACAAATAAACATCCAATTCCGTGCAGCTTATAGTCCACTCATTCAAGGTGATCGTGTTCGTCTAACTCTATAATATTCGCCTCAGGACCAGTCAAACGCTGGTTTTCCTCGTCTGCTGGAACGGCAACCTAGAGTATCATCAAGATCTCTCAATCAACAAGTCCCAAAGACTGTAATGGTACCAAGATCACTAACCCTTCGGGCCAGAAATATTCTAGCTCCAGCTCGTGATAACAGTATCCCAAAGTCATATCTCTGCAGCAATGCGTATAAGGGTTCGAGAAGATGCACCGGGGGAGGGAGACGACAATCAGCGTGGTGAGATGAGAGACTCGTTGACTCGGGCTCAAATGGGGATGAACCGAGGAGAACAGCGTCAATTTGGTAACTTCCTGGAATAATGGGGCGGGTAGTAGTCTCCTCTGCGGTGTAGATGGATACCAGAATCAGAGAACCTGGGCCATGGCTTGCACCGAGGGTTTGGGACACCGCAGGCGTTTGATCAATAGTATCGAGCGTATCACTTTGAGAGCCTCCTATGTCTTCAATTCTATTCTGTCCCTGTCGGACCTTATTCTGGTAATGGGCCATGATGAGTCGATAGACTGGGACGCATGTAATAAGGAGGGCTATCAAGCCAATGAATGCTTCTGGTGACAGCATCATTGTAAAGGAAACAAACAAAGAAAGATACTGTTGGGAGTTATCTCGCCGAGGGGGCGGTAGCGTCCTTTTTAAAGCCATGGTGGCTCTAACATACTGACTATATCGTGCTGGGAGGTCTTCGAGATGCGAGGATGAGAGTAGGACAGCGGGAATGAAAATTGAAATTCAATGTAGAGTTAAGGTAGTAGGTAGCTACCTTGCGCAAAACAGAAGGAAGCTGAGTGAAAGTGAACGTAACCAGATAGGTATCGGATAGCCTAGCTGCCTAGAACGTGTAGGATATAGGCAGTGGGGTGATCCCCGTCCTAGGACTGAGTTGCTTATTCGTCACTATTGACCTTTGTCAGTTAGATTGTGGCAGTGAGTACGCAGTGGGTCCTCATCCTAGGCCAAATCTAAATAATCTGACAGTTGTATGACGCTACCCAAACCTGCTATTCAAGGGTAATTGGCCGGGCAAAACAGAGGAGATCATGACCCCGGACCCATCCGTTGGGTTCCGTTGGGCGACTGGGTGACTGGGTGCCTGGGTCCCCACCCAAATACATACACCCAGTCCGTCGTGTCCGAGTGATCTGTTCCTTCTTTCTAGCTTTCTTCCAAGTGCATAGCACGGACGGTCCTTTTTTTGCTTTTTCTGTTCTGCGTCTGGCCAGCTTTCCTTGCTACAAGTCGCTGTCCCATCTTGGCGGGCTTTCATTGGTTTGCAATAACGCCTCGCGGACAGGCACTTCAACTCCGAACAAAATAAGTCCCAAGATCTGGAAGTGAAGTATTCTGTGACTCCGAGTAGGTAAGGTAATACCCCTAAGAAACGGGCATGCGCACCGCATCTAGTGCATGGCGTACCTCTCCCCTGGGACATGGACTACCGACTAATCACCTGACTTTCTCCTATGTCAATATTGTTGTCTTTATCCGGTGGTAATTTATTATTTTATTTATTCTTTTGCTTTTAGAATTAACTTTGCTATTATTATTGTATGATCTTTTCCTCCCTGTAAAAAAAGAATTTCAATTCAAGATCATCTTGTATCCTTCCCAAGCCTTGTGGGAAAAGTTATTTAAAAACAAAGCTAAAATAATATGTCATAATGGTATTGTATCTAAGGCAAAGGGTGGTGGTTTCTGGCTTCTTGTGATCTACTGTAGCAGTGAATAGATCAGCTGGTGACATGAGTGTCCCTCACGCAGATTCGTATTCCACTACCAAGCTCGACTGCAGTCTGAGCTGTCCTGAAATGGGCGCTCTGCACGATATCTCTCAACAGAACGATGAAACATATGATTCGCTAAAATGCTTATCCCTGCTGCACTAGATCTAGGTACCTACTTTGAGGAGATCGCAAGAAACCATCATCTGTGGGCCCACCACACTTTGCCTGTAAATGAAATACCATTATGACTGAGGCTGCTGCCTGTTCCCAGATAGGGAGCTTCAGCGGATGCAGACTTAGTCTAGATATATTCTTCCTGTCTTTTTTGTGCTTGATGACCAGCAGTCAGTGCACGCGGAAGATAGCATGTGCAATGGATCAGTCAAACATCACTAATGATGTATTATTATAGACTGTACCTCTCTACTGCGTGGAAAACTTTAACTGCGCTTCTGATCTTGAGATTGTCCGTGCCAAATTCCAGAACTATTTGGCTGGGAAAGTGGGAAGGGCGCTGTGCTTTTGCGGCCTCCAATCAAAACACAGCAGTCTCCCAATTGGGCTCAGGGACAACTTTGATGGATCGATGGATGTTTAGAACATTGCACGGAATAAAAACATCTTTTTTAACCTCCAATCAAAACACGACGATCTCCAAATTGGCTCAGCGACAATCTTGATGGATGTTTAGTACATTGCACGGGAAAAAAACATACTAAATCAGAAATTAAGGTCTACATAATGCCCAATTACTTAGTAGTTCATAGTCACTGCTCCGAGTACTCCTATCAATCCTTGGTGCAGTAATATTTCTGTGCAATGATCCGTCTATCCTGATCTAATAAAACCATCTCCAATAATGCTGAAAACAGAAGGACAAATCATTAATTGGATACTCAGTATCTAATAGTTTGATAAACATCCTATATTGTTAAAATTGAGATTGCGACTATCGACGCAGTTCCCACCGCCCCGGGACTGCTACTACGGTCCATGGGCCACCGTCGATTATGCCTCACTTCTCCGTGCATCTTCCCTGTCTTTTCTGTTGCTTTTCTGCGTCAGCATGGCCATAAATTATTCCGTAGGTTTAGTGCAGAGGCTTAGCCACGCGCTGTGAAACGTGCAGACACCTTCCAATCATCTAGCTAGATGAGCAACGCGGTGAGAACTACGGTGCATGTCAACAACGGTGAGAACGACACTGTGCGCGGCAGGCGCTGAGAAGGATTCGTTGAGCAGCATCGATGGCGTTTTTGAGACTTCCGTCAGCAAGGCGAATGATTGATTTCTTGGACGCTGAACGTCTGTCCCGCAATGTACGTCGAGATCATGTTTGCTAGAAGTTTGTAGAATGTTTTGCACTATGTGTAGCACCAATAGTAGAGTTATTCAATCATGTAGTAAATGCTGCAAGCTACACAGACGGACCCTTCGCGAAATGAAGTAAGGAACGCCTAATTTAGTGGTAAGTTGAGAGTTGATGAGTGTTTCACGTCTGCGTTTTATGCAGGGTCACCCTACTACTTAGTCAGTACACGGCAAGCCCCCATTCGTGAGCTAGCATGTCAGTCAAATTCCTAGCCATCCGAGATGGGAAATTTACGAATCCAACCGTCTCATACCAGCCATCCTCTACACCCACACCACCTTTCATGAATGTCTCTTCACCCTCCGTCATGAGTAGGTGCTGAAAGTGTGTCCTGAATCCTGCTCTGCAGAATAGCACATATTATGCCATGTATTCGAGGCTTCGTCTGCCGCCAGTCGGCTAGGCGCAAGGAAAAAGAATGGAAGAAGATATTTAACAGGCAGCGGGAAGCTGTCTCTGACTTGACATAAATCTGAATGATGGGCGGCCTATGGTGGAGTTGTGATAACCGCACTGGACGTCTAGGCTTCAGGCTAGGTATCAGGACCAGGGGTGAAAGACCAAAGGGACCCTGGAAACTGGGGCGAATAACAGAGCTTGAAATAGCTTGCTATTAACAGCCGTTAGTAGCATTCAACTCCCCTGCCAGATGCGCAGGACTACATGAATCTGCCGAACAATCGGTTCCTTCATCTCGTATTCTTGATGGCGCCGAGGGGAGATCAACTCTACTTACGGGGAAATTCATCGTATAAATTGATCCCACTCGCATTCTATCTCCCGTTGTAGTTAGCCTTCTCGTAAATATTATTAAGAGAGTGGATACGGAGTAGACTGTGACGCTCCAGAGGCAAGTTTCGTAGATATATTGAAGGGGATACCTTCAACTCCATTTTTGCTTTATCAATCCAACTTCGAATGGCCATTCGTTAGAGACAGTTCCATCTGCTTACCATTCTTTGTCACTCTTTCTATATATTCTTGTCGCTCTTTTGTTTTCTTTTCAAGGAAAGTCGGTATAATAATCTAATACGAACCCCCTAATCATCGATACAAATCCGACGGCAAAATGCTCTCCAAGCTCCTGACGGCGGTCTTGCTGTTGGCCGCCCAAGCCTACACAGCAGACGTGTCCAAGCTCTTCCACTACGAACTGGGACTCAACGGAACTGCTCATCAAGCCGAATTCCAGGAGCGCACCCACGCCGGATACAGACTCACCTATGTCAACGGGTACTACTCCCCGGAACAGAACCAGACCCTCTTCTCCAGCATCTGGGAGAAAACAGGCGCTACCTCCGCCGTTCCCTGGATTAGTCGACACGGCCTCACAGCTACCCAGTACAACGATCTCTCCACCGATCTCCGCAGCAAGAAATACCATCCGGTCGTCCTCAACGGGTACAACCTCCCAAACGGCGAACGCCGCTTCGTCACAATCTGGGAGAAATCTACCATCGGGGTCTGGAAACAAGCGGTGGATCTGACGATCGACCAGCTCAAGGAAAAGGTCGCCAGCCTGGCACCACTGCGTCTCACCTCCCTCAGTGGCTACACGATCAACAATGAACTGCGCTATTCGGCTACCTGGGGGGAACGCACCTCCTCGGACTGGAAGGGAGAGTGGCTCTACTATGCCAATGTGACCGGTGTCATGCAGGTGGGTGTGAATGCTGTGGAATGGAAGCCCACATATCTTCATGCGCATTCGGTCAATGGGGAGCCTGTGGTTGATTCCGTTTGGGAGAGATATACGGGCCCGGACTATGGTGCTCAGCTTTGGTACTATGAGGATAACGACACTGCGGAGGGCTACAAGACGTTTTTCAACAGCATGACAAAACAGGGATATAAGCCTCGGATGGTGACTGCGCATTATTCGAAGGAGTGTGGCGTGCGATATGTCAGTGTCTTCTCTTGAGTCTTCTGTGTCAGCTAGGAACCTATTCTCTGGGGGATGGGCCAGTCGTGAGAAAGGATGAAATCAACTGGAAGATGTAGGTACTATTTAATAAACAAAGTTAAACCCATTTACGTATATCTTACATCTTATATCTCTCGCACGACCAACAACCAAGCATAGATGAATTAGACATGAGAATAACTTGTTTAAATGCCCAGACGTCTTATCTAAAGTCCTTCAAACTCAGCAAGAGTATAAAACGTCTAATCAGGATTCCATGTGCAATGCGATTGTTGATTGTTGACATCGCTAGGCACACATGCCGCCCCCCAAGGCATCGGCTCGACAAGTCACTGAAGAGTCTTAAACTACGGCGCCCCGAACAATGACAGACACTCTATTTAATGACCGCGGAAGGGAACTATGTCCGAGCGTTGAACATTAGTCTGGCTCATTAGCCTGCCCTGTTTCCTCCTGGTCTGCCCATTGTTGCATAAGTGAAGCGAATGTGCGATAGTCCGACGAACGGCAATCACCTCAAGGCAGTTGCCAGGCTGGCAAAACGACGACTTCGATAAGCGAGATATGCTGCAATGAGGGTTTCCTACGAGTCCATGCGACTCCGAGACTTTGCGAATATCCTCGTCCTTTCCTGAGGCAGGGGTGACACCTAAGGCACCGCAGAAACATGGGACCACGTCGACCCAGAGCACCCAGTCAACCATTGAGACTG